CAGGAAACTAGCAAGGAGTGGAATTGCTTATCGGACAAGACAAATGGACGAACCTGTTGTATCCTCTTGACATGGACCTCCGCCGTTATCTCCTTCATTGTGGGAACATGGCGCAGGCGACATACGATGCATTCAACTCAGAGAGAAAATCAAAATTTGCAGGTGATAGCAAGTATTCAAGGCCCAACCTATTCTCTAGAGTTGGATTAACCAAAGGCAATCATTTCAAGTATGAAGCAACCAAATATTTCTATGCAACTTCTCAAATGAAGCTGCCTGCCTGCATATTTTTGAATTCATTGTCAAGAGAAGCGTGGAACAAGGAATCGAATTGGATGGGGTATGTTGCTGTTGCCACTGATAAAGGGAAGGCTGTGTTAGGCAGGAGGGATATCTTGATCGCCTGGCGAGGATCAATCCAGGCACTTGAATGGGTTAATGATTTTGATTTTCCTTTGGTGTCAGCTTCGACGATTTTCCCCGAAATTGGTTCAGATCCCCATGTGGCTAGCGCTTGGCTCTCTGTTTATACTTCTGATGACCCAAGATCACCTTTTAATACAACAAGTGCTAGGGAACAGGTAATAAAAAATTTTAATATGCTTTTCTGAAAGAAAAATGTTGTACTTCAAGATCTTCTAGATCTGGTAGATCCTCTTCTTTTTATATCTCCATTTACCATAGAGGGAAAAACAAATGTTGTTTCAAAAGTTACTTTAGCAAGAAAAGGCATAAATGGGATTTGAAGGAATGTTCCAATGCTGGTGTTAGGTTCTACTGGAGGTGAAGAGACTGGTTGAGAAATTCAAGAATGAGGAGATCAGCATTACAATAACAGGGCATAGCTTGGGTGCAGCACTGGGAACACTCAATGCAGCTGATATTGTTTTCAATGGATACAACAAGACGGAAGATCAACCCAAAAAGCCATGTCCTGTCACAGCTTTCCTGTTTGCCAGCCCTCGTGTAGGAGATAACAGCTTCAAAAAACTCTGCGACTCCCTGGGAGATCTGCACATCTTACGGGTACGGAATTTTCCAGATCTTGCACCTACCTATCCCGGGCTGGGATATGCAGATGTGGGTGAAGAGCTTCTGATCAACACTACACTTTCAGAGTATTTGAAGCCTCCGGGAGAGTTCAAGAGTTGGCATAACTTGGAAGTCCATCTACACGGAATTGCTGGTACACAAGGGAAACAAGACGGGTTTAAACTAGAAATTGAGAGGGATCTTGCACTAGTGAACAAATATACTAATGCCCTGCAAGATGAACACTTAGTGCCTGGTTCTTGGTGGTGTGAAAAGAACGATGGAATGGTTCAAAAGAAAGACGGGCATTGGGTGCTGGAAGATCATGAAAAATAGAGAGGATAGGCATTGAACAGTGCCCTGAGTACTTGGAATGAAATTTGATTGGCTAAATAAAAGTAAATAAAGCTAAAAGCAATAACTAAGTCCTGTCTATTTCGATTTTTATTCAATCCCTACCATATTCCATCATTTCATTGCTAATCTAATTTCTATGTAGAACTAACTCATACTTTTCATATTTCAAATGCCTCTACTCAGTTTCATCATGAAATTTTGAGTGTTGAATTTCTAATTCTCACTTTTTACCTAGGAATTGGAAACTTAACCCTAAAGGACTTCAAAATGGCAGTAAGAGTTGCTTCAATATGAAACTCACGATTTTATTCTACATATGAACAGCAATGCCCTAGTAATTAAGTCAAGTAGAGTAAATTAACCCAACAGCCTACAAGAACCATCTAATTTTTACGCCTGACAAAAGGTTGGAAATTTCCCTTTCCTAAGTTCAACTTTCTAACAGGAAGCTCTCGTATCAGGTACCCAAGTGAGAAAATGCCTTTCATTTTTGTTATTATTTTATGCTATCCAAAGGCATATATTCCACTTATAAGTCTAAAGGTAAGTGAGAAGCTTTCCAAAGGAAAGCAAACTCAAGTGAAACCCAGAAGCTAAACTAACTATACTCTTGTACCTTGAATCTGGAAAGAAATCAAAGATATAGAACTTGAAAATTACAGATGATTAGAAATAAGCAAAGCCCACAGAGATAGAGAGAATTCATTCTTTATGTAAAAAAAGAACCAGAAAGTCAGAGAAATAAAGCTCTATCTATCTCTGTATACGCCAGTCCAAACCAAGAAAACTATCTCCCATTCTTTTTCCTCTTACCCATAAGGATGAACCCAAAATCTAAAATCTCCAGTTACTAACAGCTCTAAGAACATATCCGAATCAAGTAATACCAGAAGAATAAAATCAACATTAACAAGGGATCTGCGAAGTGAACCACTCCATAACATGAATTGGCGCTTTTATCAACTCCAGTGCCACCTCCACTAGTACAGTTATGCACAAACAACAAGGGCACAGACATGTTAACAACAACCTGCACAAGTTCAATCAGATCCAACATTAAAATGTTTATAATTTTCCGAACAAGTGACAAAACTCCCATGAATTAAAAGCAAGGAACAAAAAAT